GACAAATGAGAACTGAGGGTTAGCAGTAGCAGCTCCAGTTTCACCCCCTACATGAACAGACTCCTGGGAAAAGAGCAAAACAGCTCTCCCAGGAAGCTCCCTTCTCTGAATTCTGTGCAGCTACTGCAAGATGACACACAGTCTTGCACTTGATTACTATGTAGCTTTGCCCAAGATTATCTTGCAGCTCACCAAGACTCAAAGTTCCTCCTGGAGCCACAGAATCCTGTGCAGAGCTAAAGGTAGGAGCAGCTTCTTATACTTAACCCCATAGAAAGGGTTCCAGGTCTCTGAGTTCACAAACCCCTTTGGAGCCAAGGGTCTCAGTTTAATTCTGGTTTTGAGAAAAAGATTTTTCTTTTCTTGTTTGTTAAAAAGGCTCTAAACCAACAACGAACTGTAAAGATAAAACATTCAACAATGTTAATTTCCAATGCCTTATGTTTCTCTCCAGCTGCTCAAGGTCATACCTCCCCACTGAATGATTAGAGGGTTGCTGATATGGTAAATGGGGGGAGAACACACACACACACACTCTCTCTCTCTCTCCCCCCCCCCCCCCCCCTCCCTCCCCCCCCCCCCCCCCACCCCACTCCCTCTCTCTCTCCCTCTCTCCCCCACCCCCCTTCTATGAAGTCCAACCTCTAATAGAAAGAGCGAGCAGCTCAGATCCCGGCCAGCCTGGACAAAGGACTGACAAACCAGACGGAAGCCCTGGAGCATCTGTGAAATCTTGTCTGTTCCTCTGCCTCCTCCGAGAAACGAATCACAAGACTGCTCAGAATAAGAAACCAAAAGGGCAGAGGCTCAAAAAGCAGCCGGGCCTGAATTTCATTCTGTTTCCAAAGAGTGAGCTCACATGCTGTGTTGGTTATTTGCACAGTGGGCAAGCAGGCTGACGGCTTGAGGGGGCTATTTTGGGGGGATATATGCTGCAAGTCTGGTTAAGAGAAGGTCCTAGGCTCTGCACTCCCAGTAGGCATTTCAGCTCCCAGGCAGATCATGCATCTCCACAGGGGTTAAGAGCCCAACAGCTAGCCTGGCAAGCACAGCGTGTGCATTTAAGTCATCCCGAGAGGATCCACACCTCAATGCACAACCAGAACCTAAGTGAGGTGAGAGAGGAGACAAGAGGAGTGAGCAAGGGCCCTCTCCACCCATAACTCCTGGCTGCACTTCTGGAGAGGCTGATCCAGGAAGCTAAATACACTGAAAAATAGAAGGAAAGGGCTGGGAAGACAAGAACAGCCTGAAGAATGGCTAGGATTTCCGACCTGAACTACAGAAATGGTGCTCTATGGGCTGGCACAGGAACTAGCACGGCTCCCTTCCTTCCCCTCCTCCTCTCAGCTGGCCACCAAGCATCTCCTACCCTGTGCACTCCCCTTATGGTGGGTGTGGGGAGATGTGGCGGCTCCCACTACAACTCATAATGGTCCCCAGTGTCTACCTCCCTCATGCACAGCGACTCTGCAAAGGTTTCTAGGTCATCCTTCTGATTAAAAAAAAACCCAAAAACCTAGCACAAGCAATACACATTTGCATACAATACCCAGTTACATGCACACATTTACATACCTGCACATTTCCATAAAATACACATTTATGTACATACACATATACCTGTTTTTACAGTAGGAGCAAGGCAAGAAGCCTCTATCAGATCTCGAATTTTGTTTTTTCCTCATCTGATTCCAGCAGCAAGAGCAATTTGGATTAAAAATTTTCCATTATAAAGCCTGATTAGAGATAGAAATGCCACCTGCTTGCTTTCCTCCCCACCCCACTCTACCCATCCAGTGAGATTTGTTAATAAACGGGGGAACAAAGACGGAAGAGAGATCCAGGCTGCATTCTTTGCAAGTGAGGAGCGCACGCTTGTCCGAGCGTTTTAGATACTGTGCTCTGGCAAACCCCAGCAGGCTGATCCTCTTTGCTCTCAGAGTGGCTGGGGTGCAGCTCTCAGCCTCTTAATAAACACATCCATCTTCCTCCACACTGGTAGGCGCAAGGATTTTCTCTGACCAAACCCACGCTTCTGCATCTATTTTCAGCCCCCATAAATCATATTCCATTGTTTTGGGGAAATCCAAATTCAAGTTTTAACAGGCCATCGACCTCATCCCTCCATTCCTCACCACTCCAAATTTCCCTCAGGATGAAATCTGCAAAGAGGAAATTCTAAATCAGATGTGGACTTAAAAGGCAAGCTCCCACACAGGGCAGGAAAACAAAACTGGGTAAAAATACCGGCAATAACCACTAATGTCTTTGGTTAAAGGGCCTCACTGATTCTTCGGTACAGGTGTGAACTCAGTGGGCATCTGCAGGAAGCAGAATTTGAACCTAATGCTAAATGACACACGATCCTGCTCTTCATGACCATAAGTGCTGCGGTGGCTGGATTAAATGGCTCTGCTGCAGAATTTCTCCCATTTCAAGGTTACTAAGAAATATAAGATGGATTTACAATTTATTTCAGTGTGCCCACCCTTCTCAAATCAGCACATTCAGGATTCTTATTCATAACTAGGCTTGACCTAGTACAAGTTCTCTATTTTGCCCTGAGACACGGAGAGACTTGCTGTGCAGTCCCAGGTGGACCTGTATCTCAAATGTTTCCAGGATCGAAATTAGATCACAGATGCTCACGGAATAAAGTCTGCCAAACCAGGTCTGTGGACTGGTACAATTCTTAAAGAGCCAATACAGAAAACAGCTGTCTAGGGCCGGGAGGCCTTAATGACATCCTGGAAAATATAGGACAGTATAAAAGGACTATACAGAGTCAATGATTTTGAAAATTCCCAAGCTCTTAACTACAGCCCAAATGCATATGCTTTAAAATGTACCCACCCTCAAAGCAATGCACAGCTAACTGTGACTTTGCAAGCCCAGCTTTAGCTCCACACATCCACACCGCAGCCTGCCAGAGGTCTGCAGACCACTCCCTACTGAGAGAGTCCAGCTAACCCTACCGGCCTCCCAGCAGGCTGCAGCATGATGTCCAGATCCAAGTCCAGGCACCAGCTGGAGGTCCCTTGGGCCTGCCTTCCCATGTGCCGTATTCCTGACCGGTTGGACAATCATCAGAGAAGGCCACAGGAAAAGCCGCATCATGCCCACCGCGGCCACTCCCTGGCCCTCATCAACACCGGTTGCGCGCACTTCTACGGAAGAACACAGCATGCAGGAGCACGGGCCTGCTACAGAAGGCCGTGGAACAAGAAACACCAGCATGAGAGGGCGGCTGGTCTGCAGCTTTCAAAGAAGGCAGAGGCTGCGGAGCTTCTGCAGAGGAAGTGGTGATATTTCAACAGCCAACTCCCACAAAAACAGGCAGTGAAGAGGAGTGGGGCAGCCGCAGCAGCTTCCAGCACCCCAGCCACCTTCTCCAGGTATTCGGAGCTTGTCTGTGACCACAGTGGTAAGCAGGACACACCTGAAAGTACCTTCTGGCGGAAAAGCAAACACCTTAACGCTGCCCAATCGGTCCCTTCACTCCTCCCCATTCTTAACAAGAGATCTGGAATAGCGCGGACAGGGAAAGTTTCTCCGATTAAGGAGAAAACTACACTGCGGGTGGCCTCTCCCTCAACTCTCACTGGGCCATCTGCAACCTGTCTCGCCCCCGTCACCTGCCATAAGGCTCGCTCTTCGGCTGTTAGTGAAAAAATGACTCCACCTGCCTCCACCAGCCACGCTGGGCTTTCAGTAAAGCCCCCTCAACTAGGAAAGCCTAACTTCAATCCACCCCTAAAGTCCGACCCACAGGTGTGACAGGCTTCCCGTGCAGGGGCTGGGGTGCTCCCAGGAAGTGAAGGAAAAGGTACCCGACGACCCTGTCACTGGAAAAGAGCTGACCACTGCCTCCGCCTCACCCTCTCCACCCAAGGGTTCGGAGCCCCCAGGCGCAGTCAGACCGATCCCCACTCCTGCAGACTCATTTGTTTCCGGAGAGACACCCACAACCCAGCCCACGGAGCGTCTGGACTCGCCCGCCCCAGCACCCACGCCTCCCCCGCGCCGGGTTCCAGCACCGCCCCCGACACCCACCCGCGGACCGCCCCTTACCGCCGGTGTCCTCGAAGCGCGGGGGCGGACAGTCCCGCAGCGCGGCGCTCCAGCCCGCGCCGGCCTCGTCCTCCTCCGGCTCCTGCGCGTCCGGGGCGCGGGGAGGCGGCGGGGCGGCCCCTGCGGGTCCAGGGGGCTCCCGCTCCTCGTCCGAGGAGGCGGCCGAGGAGGAGCGCGAGGCGGCCGAGGTGCTGTAGAAGGGGTTCCCGCCGCTGTCCGGACCGGACTCGCCGAACACGTCGTCCGAGATGTGCAGGCTCTCGTAGCGCGCGCGGGCAGCCTCGAGCAGCGCCGGCGCCCTCCTCCGCGCGCCCCCGCCGCCCTCGGCCATGGCCCCGGCCGCCGCCCGCGCGCCCGACCCCCACAGTGCCTCCCAGCCGCACGCGCCGGGCCCCGGGCCCGCGCCGCGGCCCGCCGCCCCCCACCAGCGCAGCCCGCAGCAGAGCGCCCGCCGCCCCGTGCCCGGCCGGCCCGCCGTCTTGGCCGCCTCGGGCCCAGCGCCCGGGAAAGCGCCCTCGGAGCTCGGGCGCCGCAGGCTGCGGGCCGCGGCGGGAGGCGAGCCGCGCGAGGGGGTGGCAGGGGCGACCCAGCGAGGGCGGGACGCAAAGGCTGCGGCCGAGACCAGGCGCCGCCGCTACAGCCACCGCCGCGGCTGCGTCTCCTCGGCGCCTGCCGCGTCCCTGCGCGCCCTCCCCACGGCCTCCGGCGCTGGGCTGCCGACCTTCCCGGGCGCGAGCCGCCGGAGGCGGGCCCCGCCCCCTCGCACCTCCCGCCCGCCGGCCAATGGGGAGCCGAGCCCGAACGGCCGCGGGGGAGCTGGGCGGGCCCGGCGCGGGGAACGCCCCCACCCTCCTCGGCGGGGCGGGGCGGGGCGGGGCGCGCAGCTGGGGCTCGCGGGAAGGGGGAGGGCCGCCGGCTGCAGGGCCGGTCTCCTCCTGCAAGGACGCGCAGCCCGGGACCGCCACGCGCAGCGCGGGGTGGGAAGGGCGGGACCGGGGGACAGGAGGGGAGGGCGCCCCGGGTGCTTCCAGCGGTCCGGGTCCGCTGACAGAGCGCTGACCCACCCCGCTCACGGTCGGCTTCAGCAGTCCGCGTGCGGCTCCAGGGAGCTGTCCGCCCCGGTGGTTCTGAACCAGGCGCCGCCGAAACGCTCCAGGTAGGCGGCGGGCCCGAGGTCACTACTCCCGCGGCGGCTGCTCGAGGCTTCCTGGGGGTCACCGCCAGCTGCACCGCATGCTCCCATAAATACAGGGGCTGTCCAGCTTCTGGGAATCTAGCTTTAATTAGGAGCCCGCCTCGCCGGTCCACTGCTGGTCGCCGGTCAGATGCTAACTCCGTCTCGCTTCAGTATCCCTGTAATTTAAGGGTGCCAGCACTGGAGTTAAGTAGCTAGTCATTCCTCATCATCGTTGACGTGTGGCATCTTTTGAACTCAAAATATCCATTACTTCCAAATATTGATTACTCTCACACCTCTATTTTAACATCTCCTTCACACACACACTTGAAACACTCATCTGGTAAAATATTGCATGATCACCCAGGCTTCAGTGCTCTCATAAACAATAGCACAGAAAGGTTGCATCCGCCCCTCTTCCTTGGGCAGGCATGTGTGGTGGTCATCCTGTTGATGGCGATACACGTAAGGGAGACTGCCTTGTCTTCTTGCTCCCCTCCACCCTCTTCAAATAATGCAATAAGTCACACTAAAGGTAAATGGGCCATAAAGTCACTTTCACTCTGAAATAAAATAAATCCTCAGAGATGTGAAGGGCTTACAAATCCTACTGGGCATTAACTAAATTGTAGTTACATGAAACCGGAAGTCATGTTGCAATTTCTAAGAATGCATAAAGGGTGAAGGACCATTTTGCCAAGTGGGGTCAGTTCTAGGGTCGAGCAGGAACCTTCACTCATGCGCTCCCCTCCCCAGCCCCCGTGGTTCCTCCTTCCAAATCAGGGGCTCTGCACAGCCGTGGATTCATGATCATGACTAATAGACAATATATAAAAAGGAGAAGATTCATGGAACATTCCTTACTATGTGGATTGGCTGAAAAATGAGGAAGTGCTTGCAAAGCATTTCTACTCCCTTGGAAGAATTAAGCCACAGAAAATATCTGGTTTCCAACATACCTATATACTGTGCTAACCAGCTGAAAGATGTTGAAGAGGGTACAGGTAATCTGACTTATCAAAAAGGGTGATAGTAAAGCATAGATTGGAGATGCAAGGAGAAGAATAAGACTCCATAGCTCAAGTTCAAATTCTACAATTAGGGATCGTGTGAGGCTCCTGCAAGATTTCATGTTATCTATTTAAAATAGTTGAATGGAAAAAATAATTGAATGGGATTCAGAGAGTTAAAATCTGTAGGAAAGAGTTCCTTCTTTTCTTCTCCAATTAGCCAATGAAAAAGTCAACAGCTAAGGTATGTGTTTTAAAAACAATGAATTGCTTTGCTACCCATAAGGAACCAGGGAACAAAACAACAGCAGTGACAAGGATGGACAGAGTCTTCCAGTGTCCCTAATTTGCATTTGTATAGTACTAATCCCCAGGAAACCTTGAGACCTTGTGCTTCCTAGGCTCACAAATGCTTGTAGCTCACACTGCATGCAACACTGAGGAGAGGATTATATGGTCACAAAAGAAACACTGAGAAATCAAATTGTTACTTCAAAACTTGTCTAATAAAAATTAGATGAATATTTCAACTTATAGTGAAGTATTTTATAGGACGTACATGTGTTTAAGCCAGTGTTTCCAAACAAGAAAAGTAAATACATTCCAACCTTTGAAAACAGATGACTGCTTCTCACTGTGGTAAGAGAAGGAGTGAGGGGACAAAACAATTGGAAAACAAAAAACTTTCTCCTCTGGCTGGCATCCTCCTATTTGATAATTACCATTTTGATTCTACATCATTAACTTTTATTAGTAGCATCATTTCTGAGAGTAATTATAGAATCGATATCACACTGAGATCTTTTAACTTTGAGTCATTTGAAAACGTCTTCCAAATAATTTAATTATAAAATATAATTAAATAATTTTAGATTAATATTGAGCTTTTGGTTTTATGGTTTTCCCAAACAGCTCAAGGTAGTAAAAAGCCATTCATTTGTGTAGTAGATTCCTTAGGTTTTGTTAAACCAATGGTTCATGCTTTTATGTAACTAGGGCTAATCACCATATTTCATTAAGTCTAAACCTCCTTTCATGGTACAGTGAACCATTGCTTTATGTATCACCAAAAAGGAAAAAGTGCTGCCATAGGAAACTATGATACAATGGTTTCTTTTCTGTTCTAATTATAATTTAAACTTATTGAAAAAAGCTATTTGATAATAATTTTTGGACAGATTTTTATTATGTATCACTTTATTGCATGCATACAGATAAAATATAAGTTAATTGGTTAAAGTTTTCTGAATTTCACATTCAGAATCTCACTACCCTTGTTTACTTTCTAACTCAGAGCTGTCAATGCCCAGGTTTTCTCCACAATGTGCTCCTCCAAGTCACTCAGAGCATTTGGTATGCTGCATTTCTTATGCAAGTGCTCCTAACTTATCCAAGCTACTGGCCTCCCATTCTGTGTGTCCCCCAAGCAAGAGCATGCTAGCTGTGGTCAGTCAGCACTGAGGAGGCAGATGACAGAGCTGAGAGAGAAGTGGTAGCAAATGAAATCAAAGAGGAAGTTGGGTGGGTGTTAAATCTTGCAAGACTTTGGATTTTATTTGGAGTGATATGGGGAGCCACTGGAGAGTATAGAGCAGAGAAATAAGATCTTGATGCTGGTGTTTTGTTTGTTTTGTTTTGTTTTACCTAATCCAAGGTTTACATACAATAACTAGATTCAATTTCCTTCCTCCAGTGGTTCTCAGAAGGCCTGTGGCCTGGCACACCAAGGGGTATATGAGGTCAGGCATGCCCTAGGAATAGAAGTGAAGTTGGCATAGACTCAGACTCTGTTAACTGCACAGGGATTTTCACTTGCCCAGCACCAATTATAAGACATTCCTGATGTTAGAGATGTGAAATGTGAAAAAAAGGAAGAGGGCATCTTAGAAGCCATAGAATACAGTATATATTTTTCCTTGGTAGTTTTACAAGTCTTAATTTTGCAAATAGTCAAGCTGTGGCAAGACACAGAAAAGAACATGAATGCTAATGTGGCAGAGAGTGCCCTGGCCAGCTCCAGACTGCACAGGCCAGATGAGGCTTGGGAAGTCTACATGTTGCCGGTCACTATGGATGGAGAAGGCAGAGATGGAGTCAGTGGAACTGCTGCTTCTCCCCCACGTTGCCTTCATCACCCAAAAGGAGGGGGCTACAGCTAAGGAGAAGCTCCTGGGAGAGGGTAGGGGGAGAAAGAGTGCAGCTGCTGGACGGTGGCCCACATGTTGGGGAGGAGGTCAGAGGAGAATATGCATGGCACAGTGTGACATTTGGGGTCATATCTTACTCAGGGACCTAAGGGTCCAACCTCTCTCACAATGCTTTTATGTAGTAAATTTATCTAGGAGCCAACACAGAGAGGCAGAAAGAAGGAAACAGGACGATTCTCTGGGAAACTCTAGAGAAAATTCCCTTGTGTTCAGATTGAGATGATCTGACTTTTTCATTGATTGATTGATTGATTCATTCATTCACTCACTAATTCAACAAATATGTATTGAGTTCTATTATGTGCCAGGCTCCCTTCTAGGCACTGGAAATAAATCAGAGAAAGAGAACAAAGACCCTGTTTTTATAGCACTTACATTCAAATTGTCGGTGGGGAGAGAAGAGACAAAAAATAAACAACCCAGGAAGTATGTATATACCTGTTGTTGACAAGAGATAAAAAGCAGAGGGACAGAGACTGATGGTGGTTGTGATTGTAGTGGAGTGTGTGTATGTGTGCACAAGCTTGTATAAATTGGTTGGGAGAAGTTGCTCTGATAAGGTGACATTTGAGCAGAACCTTGAATGGATTAAAGAAGCAAGCCATGTTCATTCAAGGATGAGAAACAAGTGCAAAGCACCCAAAGCAGGAGCGCACTAGCTGTGGTCAGTCAGCAATGAGAAGACAGATGTGGTTGAGACAGAGATGAGAGGAAGTGGTAGCAGATGAAATCGAAGAGTTGGATGTTAAATCTTGCAATATTTTGTACTTTATTTTGCGTAAAATGGGAAGCCACTGGAGAGCATCGAACAGAGAAATAAGATCTGACTTGTATTTTAAGGGCCTCACTTTAACTGCTTAGAGGCAAATACACTGGAGCAGATGAAAAGTGGAATCAGGAAGACCAGTTCAGATACTATTGCGATAGTCCAGGCCATAAAAGAGGGTATTTGGGACCAGACTGGTAGTGATGGAAGTGATGAGAATTAGTCAGATCAGAATATGTCTTGAAGGTAGAACCCACAACTTTTATGAAAGAATTAAATGTGGACGGTGAGAGAAAGAGATGAGTTGAGAAGGACTCCATGGTTTTGGCTTTGCTGTTGTTGTTTGCATGGGCTACTGCAAGAGCAGCAGGATTAAAGAGGAGGAACAATAGCTTGGTTTTCAACATGTAGAGTTTAACACATCTGAGTGGGTCTGGAAAGCAGGTAGTTGAAAACAGGAATCTGGAGTTCATCCAGGTCTAGGCTGGACATAAAATTGTGAGTGCCATCAGCAGATAGACGGTAGATACATCTTGTTTGCTTTGTTGTTGTTGTTGTTGTTGTTTTGAGACAGTCTCATTCTGTAACCCAGGCTGGAGTGCAGTGGCTTGATCTGGGCTCACTGCAACTTCTGCCTCCTGGGTTCAAGCAGTTCTCCTGCCTCAGCCTCCCAAGTAGCTGGGATTACAGGCCCCTGCCACCACACCGGACTAAGTTTTGTGTTTTTAGTAAGACAGTGTTTCACCATATTGGCCAGGCTGATCTCAAACTCCTGACCTCAAATGATCCACCCACCTTGGCCTCCCAAAGTGCTGGGATTACAGGCATGAGCCACCGGACCCAGATACATCTTGGATGAAACCACCAGGGACGGAGCATAAATACGGAGGAAATGGGTCTGAGGGGGATTCCCAGAGCACATGGTGTCTAAACATGAGGCAGATGAATCCCTCAAGGAGACTGAGAAGGCTGGAGAATTGAGACAAAGTAAAGTCC